GGGGTTACAGTACGTAACCAACGTTCTATTTTGTATAGGCTTCGCCCTTTAAGGCTATCGCTAATGGGTTAAAGGCGAAGCAGGATGTGGTCCTCACTGGGTCCATTAAGACACAATATGAAGCGCCCGCTTGCACCAAAAAATATTTCATCACTCAGCCTTCTGTGTGCATAATTACGCGCTGCATAATTACGCGTTCCATGCACAGTAGCACCCCGGAGAGAAAGGTTTCCAACGGGAAAAGGGGGAGGCTGAAAGCAGTCCTCCTGCCGAGAATGGAAAAGAACAGAGGTTACAAATTGTAACCACGTAACAGTGAGCAGAGCTGGTCAACAGCTCTTCAATATGAACTGATTAATAACAAATGAACTGATTGGTAATCAAATGAACTGATTGGTAACAGTAGTCATGAACTGATTAGTAACAATAAAAGCAGCAGTCACAAACTTGTGACTGATAATAAATATCTCACACTGTAGTTGCATGCAGACAGATGTGAGTTTAAAATGAAATTCCATGAAACAAGTTAGATTTATTCTGTTAGAACACTAAGAACAGAATGGGTCATGGAGAAAACAGAAACATCACGCAGATAGAAGCGAATAAATGAACAAGGCAATGTTCAAGCGGCCGCTGTACAAATATCCTCCACTGTCATTCTTCCATGCAAAGCTGTAGAAGATGCAATTCCTCTGGTGGAATGAGCTCTGAGATTCTCTGGAGGCTCCAATCCTGATGCCCTGTAAGCTTCAGAAATGGCCTCACACAGCCAGTGTGACAGACGCTGAGTGGATAACGGGCGACCTGCAGAGACATCCCTATAATGCACAAACAGACGCTGAGTCTGCCGCAGAGGAGCCGTGCGTGTTATGTAACATGCCAGTGCACGGGACAGGACAGAGGAGATGAAATGATGATGAAATAGCTACAGCATAAGTTTTAATTGTGCTGAATGCTAGATTTCTGTCCATCAGCTGCTGCAGAAAGGACAGCACGCCACCTAGTGGACATGAGATGGCCTCTACACCTTTCTCCATGCACCAGCGCTGAAAAGCTGTCCACTTTGATGTGTACAGCGCTGTGGTGGAAGCAGTTCGTGAATCTTGAATTGTGCGCACCACTTCCTGAGAGAGACCCATTTTGTCTAAGTGGATCCGCTCAGTGGCCAGACCCAAAGGTGCTGGCCTATTTCTGGGTGACTCCTGATCGCTCCCCCAGCCTGGAGGAGAGCATCCTCCCTCCACGGCAGTTTCCACGGTCGGCCCGATGGCAGACGTTGGAGGTTTGGGAACAATGGGGCGCTCGCGCTCGGGGGCTACAAGGATGGCTGACAGTTCTTCCTCCCAGACTCGGTTCAGAAACCGTGATATTAGAGGGACTGGAGGAAACGTGTAAAGGAGCATTTTTGGCTATGGGCTGTGGGCAAAAGCGTCCACTCCTAACGGTGGGTCGTCCCTTGGGCTCAGTGAGAACCATAATTGACACTGGGCAGATCCAACAGATCCACTGCTGCTCGGCCGAACCTGCTCCAAATCCGAGAAATCAGCTCGGGATGGAGACTCCAGTCCCCGTGGTGCGGACCGCCCCTGGACATTATGTCCGCTCCTCTGTTCAGGACGCCGGGAATGTACACTACTCTGATGGAGAGCAGGTTTTTGTGAGCCCAACACAGCAGCTGTCTCGCAATGCATAACAGTTGGGCTGAGCGCACGCCTCCCTGCCGGTTTATGTAAGCTGCAGTCACTTTGTTGTCTGTGTGCATCAGAACATGTTGATTCCACAACAGGGGAGCAAAATGCTGAATCACATTCCAAACTGTGAGCCATTCCAAGACGTTTATACGAGCTGATGTGTGAGCTGGCCACAGCGCCCCCACTGCCTGAGACAGGCACGTTCCTCCCCAGCCTGACAGGGACGCATCCGTGAAAACCGAGACATGTAACAGGCCTGCTGATAGGAACTCCCTCTGACAGAGTGAGAGGGTTTCCCTAGTGATTCAGGTCGGTTCCCACGGAGGGGGGCACAGAGATCATCCGCCTCTTCTGACGCACCGGATCTATGCGCAGGCGGGCAAACCATCTCTGAAGGCATCTCATGTGGAGTACGCCCAGCGGAACCACAGCGTGTGCTGAAGATATCGTACCCAAAAGTTTCATGATCAAGACAGCCGTTACTACTCTGCTGGGTTTTACGCGGTGAAGCTGAGCTTTAAGAGCTTCGGCTCTCTGCTGTGATAAGTGGGCTCTCATAGTGACTGAGTTTAGCTCCACTCCCAGATAAACAATCATCTGAGCCGGGAGAGCTGAACTCTTCTCCCAGTTTATGGCGAAACCCAGGTTTAGCAGGTGTGACGTCAGCACTTTGGTTTGTGCAGCTGCTTCCTGCCTGGGTCGAGTTGGCAGCAGCAGATCATCCAGGTAGAAAAGAATTCTTATTCCTGCTCTGTGTAATGGTTGCAGAGCCGTCTCCATGCATTTTGAAAATGTGCATGGGGCGAGGGAATAGGAGGGCGGGAGGAGGACTGTGGCTTCATCAGGTGGCGCACAGTTTCCGACACCTCCTCCGACTTCTTTGACTTTTCAAGCATGGCCTTGAAACTGGCCCCAAACAGCGCATCCGTCGTGATGGGCCCTCCAGCAGGTCCTTCTGCAGCTTCTCCGGCAAGGATGGGGAGAGCCGGAGCCAAGTGGACCTCTGGATCATCGTCATCCAGGCGGCGATGCGAGACAGGCAGACCGCAGACGAGGCGCACAGGTTCAGGATGACGTCAGACGCTTTGCAGAGCGAGCTCTTCATCTCCTCAGGCAGGTCTGTGTCCTCCAGCCTTTTGGAAATGCTGTAGGCCAGCAGGGCAACAATGTTGTTTGCTGCAGCCGCCTGGAAAGCACACTGGCGGGCTCGATTGGAGAGTCACCGTCTGGTCATGTCTCCCTGGAGGGACAGGACGTTGGTCCAACCTGGACACTTTTGCTCCGAGTGCTTCCGCCAGGCTTGGCTCTAGAAGGGTACCGAGGGAAAATTCCGCTCAGTAAACCCCTCCACTCTGGTGATGGGGGTGAAGGTGGAGATGGGCGCCCTCAGCTTACCAGATCCGGCTGCAGCCTCGTTCCAATAGGACATCACTGCTGGGAAACGAGGCAAGATGGGGTCAGGGCGGCGAGCCGGGGTGGAGCCAAACCTTCCCGCTAGATCATCTGATCTGGGCGGGGGGAGGAGAGGGATGGAAAGTCCCTTCATGTCAGCCGCCTCCTGGATTATGCCGGGCAGCTCAGAGAGGAGGGCACCGATGGCTGGGAGCAGTGTGTTCGCCAAGGTGGAAAGGCCCGGGGGTGGGGGTGGGGCTGTTCCAACACTGCACTCTCCAGGAGGGAATGAGCAGTGGGGCTGCTGCTGACGTCGCCTTTTCTGGAGGAATCATCCGATTTGCTCCGTGACTTGGCGTCAAAAAAGGCGATGGTGTCGTCCAGCGAACAGTCCCCCGTCACGGAGAGGCACTCCTCGATGTTAGCCTTGAACAAGGCTGCTCGTCTCAGCTTTTCCTCAGGAGGGAGGAGGTCACAGAGAAGCAGGAGGAGGCAGGAGGAGGCGAGGTTGGCGTGGCGGGGACCCAGGCATCTTTCACAGATGTCATGCCGGTCGAAACTCAAAATGTAGCTGGTCTTGCAGGATGGGCACAGGCGGATGGTGCTGGACATCGTGATGTTGTAAAGCAGTGCTGGTTTCTTGCTGAAGAAAAATGGGAGCCGATTACCTGGTCTCACCGTAATTTATAAGGACCGGGGGTGAGGCCCACACAGCAGGTGGGCGTGAACTAAAGTTTTCAGTGCTGCGCTGCGCGCAAAGGGATAAACCCACTAGCGACAGCCTTAAAGGGCGAAGCCTATACAAAATAGAACAATCGCATACTGCAAAGGTCAAAGGCCAGACCTCAGGCCAGTTTAAAGCAGTAGAAAACTGTACAGAAGCAATTACTCGATGACTTGAAATAATGTTGAAAAGAAAAACAGCCCAGAATTTATCCACAATCATGTGGGAAAACAGTTGAAGCTCTTTTTTTTTTGGTTGTTCTTATGCGTAAATCCCTAGAACAGAAAAATGTCAGACTCTTCCGCTCCGAGACTTTAAGCACAGAGCTAATGTGAAAGAAGTGAAATCAAACTAAGATGACAAAAAGGGGATTTGATAAAGATGCAGCTAAATGCTCAAATAGATTTAAAATTAACAGGAAAAGGGTAAAGTTGTACCCTGGGCTGCCTCAGAATCCTGTTCCAGGAGTCGGACCTGCTCTGCGATTTGTCTTTTCCTCTCCATGATCTCAGTGAGCCTGAGTGGGCACACAAAACACAAACAGCATTTTACAGACGCATCCAAGTTTCACAGTAAAAATAAAACATACTTAACAGGTAAGAATACACACTGTCTCTCCATGCTGGCTATTTCCTGGTTGTCCTCCTTGACCTGGGGAAAAAAAGCAGGACATTCAAAGAGAGCGTATACAGAAGACAGACTGGGAAGACCACAGGGCTCTGCCAAACAGACAGGACCTCAGTGAGAAATTATAATGTAATGATGACAAACTAACCAAAGACTGAAATGAAAATAAACTTCTACATGTCCAGTCAGCTGTTAGGAGGAGCTGCTTTTAACTGGAGTTATTGTTCAGATTTGATTGTTTGCAGCCTCTGAAACGTGTGCACCTCATTAAGGTGACTGACATGATAACTAGTTATTCATATTTATTACATAACTGTTGGGGTAATAAACACTTCGGCCCCAAAACTACCAAACTGCTGATTATTTAATTAAAAGGAACGGATCATTTAACTGGACAGTACGGTGGCTCAGTTGATAGAGTTGTTGCCTCTCAGCGAGGAGGTCGCCGGTTCAAATCCTGGCCCGGGGGCCTTTCTGGGTGGAGTTTGCATGTTCTCTCCGTGCTGCGTGGGTTTTCTCCGGGTACTCCAGTTTCCTCCCACAGATCAAAAACATGCATGTTAGACTGATTGGTAACTCTAAATTGTCCCTAAATGTGAGTGAGAGAGTGAATGGTTGTTTGTCTCGTTTGTCTCTATGTGTCCCTGTGATGGACTGGAGACCTGTGCAGGGTGTAACCCGCCCCTCACACAGTGACAGCTGGACATGGGCACCAACGACCCACGCGACCCAAAGAGGAAGAAGCGGTAAAGATGATGGATGGATGGAATAATGTTAATTCTAATAAATCATGTTTTTCCCCACATTACTGAAAATGGTGTTGAGTGGGCCGAGGTCTGTAATCCTGAGGCTGTGGATTTGAGCTAGGGCTGAATGATTTTGGAAAATATTCTAATTGTGATTTTTTTCCTCAATATTGTGATTTAATCTGTGATTATTTTTCAATGTCTTCTTCTTGTGTATTTTTCATCCAACACAATCAATAAATCTGTTTCAGTTGCAAGAAACTCCACTGTTTTCAGCTCAGCTGCAACTCTGTTTCTGCATTTTATTATTTTTTTAATAGCTCCGGAATAGCAACTTGTCTAACATGTGTGCACGAGGGCATTCTGTACCGATTATCCATTGTGTTTACCAAAGACATAAACCCAGGCTTGGTCATTATTTTAATGATCATCTTGTCTTTTGCTATGAACTCTGTTATTGCTCGAGTTATTTCCACGTGTCGTTTTGAATTATGTTCACACGGAGTAAAACCTTTGAACAGTTCGGTCAGTGATCCTGTCGACTGCTACTTTGCTTACTTGAAGTTCAAGCACTGGTTGTTGACATTCTAGTCATGCAACTATTGTAAATGACTTTGTGGTGTTTTTTAAGTGTTGACAAAGATTTGTGGAGTTACCTCAAGGGGTAGCAACAGCAGCAAGGCAGGTTCTGCACAATACGTGTTGCTCAGCGTCTTCTTCTTATTTATAGCCAAAATAATTCCAAACAATGGACGTGCTGCTCCTCTTTGGAACCAAACTTTCAGATGCATCAGCTTCTGTTGAGTCTGACGTCACTGTGCAACTGGTTAAAGTGCAGAGTTGACTTCTCCTGCTCCCTGATCTGCTCTGCTTTACTCTGATCCGCTCACTCACGAGTTACATCATGTAACCAGTCAAATCGCAGCGTTTGCGATTAGAAAATCTTGTTTTATCATACTGCGATATTATTATAAATGCAATTAATTGTTCAGCCCTAGCTTGAGCCCAGGCTGCGTCAGGTAGAGCATCTGGCGTAAAATAACTAACAAACCTTTTTGGGTCTATGGCAGCCTCTGAAGAAGGGAGCAGCCAAAGCGCAAACAAACAAACAAACAAAAATAAATAAATGTATTTTTACTAGCACTGAATTCAAGTTAGAAACTTTCCTATAATGGCAACAAGCCTGTGGTGTTATGATCTCATGTCTCCTCTGGAGATTGATTAAGTTGTCTACTGTACTTGTAACACAACAAAACTAATTTGATAGTTTGGGGTCATGTGTGTTAATACAATATATGTTTTACTTACAAAATGCAGACCATGCAAGTTCAGCCATGACCAGTGACCGTTCCAGTTGTGTGTTCTGTGTCGCTGTTTTTAGTGGGACCTAACCTGCTTAAACAGCTTCTCTCTCTCTTCCTTTGGGGAATCCACGCTCTTGTGCTCTGCCTCCAGGGCATCACGCTTTGCCTCCAGTTCTGACAGATTGTCATGAAGACGAACCACTTCCTGTTTTATCTGTGAGTGGGACAGCTCCTGGATACAAAAATAAAGCAGTATTTACATTTCATTTGTATTTCTTTGTGTCTTCTCCCATGTGTTCTCCACAGCTCCTTAGATTTATTCTTGTTTCAAACATGAACCCTTTGGTCAACTCAACAATTACACTTTATTTAAAATAACTTACTGCTTCATAGTCTTTCTTCTTGGTTACTAGAATGTCCAGCTCTTCCTGAAGGACAGCTAGCCCCTACAAAACAAACAAATAAAGGAAGTAAAGAATCAAACATGACTTCCTACATTTCTTTGACTGTTATCACCATTAGAGTCAAACCAAGACAACGCACCTGAAGCAGTTCTTCATTGACCGATGTCATAGAAAAATACTTCTCCTGCTCTGCAGCTGGCATTGCCTGGATGACTTCCTCAGCAGCCCACCTTTCTCTCCTTATCTCCTCTTCAATGGCCCTGATTGCCTCCTCCCTCCTGCAGACCAGCAGAGTGGACAACTGACACCTACTGCATGATTGGAAATTTCTATTTGATCAGAGTCAGGAAACTGAAGTAAGATAGCAGACTACAAACCGGATTCCAAAAAAGTTGGGACATTAAACAAATTGTGAATAAAAACTGAATGCAATGATGTGGAGGTGCCAACATCTAATATTTTATTCAAAATAGAACAAAAATCACAGATCAAAAGTTTAAACTGAGAGAATGTTTCATTTTAAGGGAAAAATCTGTTGTTTCCAAATTTCATGGTAATAGGTATTTTCTGTTTTACCTTTAAAGATAATTAACTGAAAACAGGTCAGGTTTACATGTACAAACATTTTATCAGGATGACGGTCAGAACATTTCAGAAGATTTAGCTTGTACAGATAGTTTCTTGATAAAACGTCCACTTGATGTAATTAAGAACTTTCCAGAAACGTACACACAGCAAGATATAAACTGAACCAAAATAAACCTTTTGTTCTGTACATGCAGAAACAGATAATATTATGAGATAGAAGCTATTTAAAAATGATAAAATAGAACAACCCTAACACATGGCGTCAACAAATCCCCAAAAGGTTGGGACAAGTCCATTTTTACCACTGTGTGGCATCCCCCCTTCTTCTTGCAAGACTCAACAGACGTCTGGGGACAGAGGAGACCAGTTTCTCAAGTTCAGAAATAGGAATGCTCTCCCATTCATGTCTAATACAGGCCTCTAACTGTTCAATCGTCTTGG